GAGAACGAAGGTTCTATATAAGACTGGCACGTCTGCCATTTAGATAGGAGCTTCGTGCTCAACTTAGTTATCAATCTTATTGTAACCGTGTGGAGTGAACCACTGCTTGCTGTGATGAATACGGAGTCAAACGGAAACTGCTGTATTGAGCGAACAACAAAGTGAGGAAGGAAGAGAGTTCCAGAGGAACGAGAGCTTAAATACAGGATGCCAGCAGCGCGCACGTGACACATACTACATGCTGCGCTACACGTGATCAACCCCTAGTTCCTCCAACTCCGCGTGATCAACCCCTAGTTCCTCCAACTCCGTAACACTTATCATATTAGTTTGACATCTTTGATACAAGTAACGAGTTCACTTCCAAGTGAACAACCCGATAGTCTTCTTCTTATCATAGCATACCAACCAGCGAACACCCAGCCAAGTTTAGTTAGCCAGTTTGAGTATTCGTTACACTATGGTATAACTACTCTGGATGTATCTGTCTTGTCAGAACGCCGTCTGGACTAACTCGTCACATGCTAATACGTGATTCGTGACAAAGACGTTAACCTTGTAACTTCTCTAGGAGACTCCCTTCTATACGTGCTAGTACTAATAATAGAGGGAGAGTTAGTACTATAAAACGTATAAAGATAGATAATAATTAAAGGAGGTTAATATATAAATAGATAGCGGAATACCCTAGTATACGTTATAAGGACTTATAAGCTTAGTATCTCGAAGAAAAAGAACGTAAAATCTCCTAATCCATAATATCTTATACTTTAAGCTCTAATTATACCTACCTTGACTCTAATACTACCCGGCCTTTAGTCCTTACTACTAGAGCTCGAGTATCTATACTAGTTTACCTAGGCTTAAAAGGGGTACTTTTTAAATAATAATAGTATATATAACTTAAAAGAGTAGTACTAATAGGTAATATCCTTAAAGTAAAAGCTCGCGAAGTCTAGTAAGCCCTACTGTCACGAATCACATGCTCACGTGATACTTGTCATAATAAAGAGGCGCAACCCTCGACAGGCACATCCAGGTTTCTTATAGCAAATAGGGATTGCTTAGGCCAGCTAAGCGGTCCATGGATTTCATTTGGTTGTTGTCACGTGATGGACCCCGATGGATCCAGGAGGGATCCAAAGGGATCCACGGATCCAGAAGGGATCCAGTAGAACGAAGGTTCTATATAAGACTGGCACTTCTGCCATTAGATAGGAGCTTCGTGCTCAACTTAGTTATCAATCTTATCATATTAGTTTGACATCTTTGATACAAGTAACGAGTTCACTTCCAAGTGAACAACCCGATAGTCTTCTTCTTATCATAGCATACCAACCAGCGAACACCCAGCCAAGTTTAGTTAGCCAGTTTGAGTATTCGTTACACCTACCTTAATACTAGGAAGTTAAGAAGCTATACTAGTCTAATAGTTAGCTTGAAGGCTTTAAGAAATAATTTAAGATTAAATAATATTTATATTATAGTAAGGTAGCTATATTCGAGGTAGCTTTACTAGAGAGAATTATTATATTAGATAAGATTCGAGCTACTTACTCTAATTATACTATTAAGGATATCTTTAATATAAACGAAACTAGTATATTCTAGAAAATAACGCTAAATCGTACCCTTATAATAGGTCCTACGAGTAGTAGAAAAAAGAGTAAGGATTATATAACTCTTACTCTTATAGTAAATACGAATAGATCCGAGAAGTTAAAGCTCTAGATTATCGGTAAATCTAAGTAGCCTAGGTATTTTAAAAGGATTAACCGATCTTTTCTTAGTATTATTTACTATAATAATAAAACAAAGTAGATAACTAGGGTTATCTTTAAGGAGTTCTTACGTTAGTTTAGTAGATATATTATACTTGTACTAGGATAAAAGGTAGTTTTATTAATAGATAACTTCTTAGGCTATAAGGTTAGTATAGATAACGTTAGTAGTAGGAATAGCCTTTCGAACGTTAAAGTATAATAGTTACTACTAAATACTACTATATTTTAGTAAGCTATAGATTAGGGTATTATCGCTAACTTTAAAGCTTACTACTATATAAGGTTTGTCCGGTTTATACTAGCTAAGATTAAGAAAGACAAGAATCTACTTAAGACTATTACTCTTTTAAATACTATTAAGTAGACTATAAATACGTAGTATAACTTAGTAAAACTATCTATAATTATAAGGTGTTTTTGTAAATCTACTATTCTTAATTATCATTATTAAATTAATACTAAAGGTTATAATAAAGAAAAAGAAGAAGTATTAGAGGACTATATAAAAAGTAGTAGTAGTAATAATATTAAAGCTAAGCTAGCTAAGTTAATAAGAGAGTTACCTAGTAATATAGTATTAGTTTAGGAGTTTATTTTAGTACTAGACGAGTTATTAGATAATAACTTATCTAATATAAATATTCTTACTAGAATTCTTAAGCGATATACTAAGGTAGATAAGTAAGAGACTAAAAAGGAGGACAATAGAGACTCTTCGCCTTTAGTTAATCCCTTCGAAGTTAGTAAAGTAATTAAGCTTATAAAGCTTTATAAGATATAATAACCTAATAATAGTAAGCAGAGATTAGATTAGTTTAGGGATATAGAAAGATAGGTATAAACAAGACGTTCTTTAGTTAGTAATTAGACTTAGATTACTAGTTATTTTAGTGTTTTAAATAGTTTAAAGGAGTATTAAATAAAAGGGCTTATTTCTTTAATATATTACTCTGAATTAATATAGTTACCTTTTACTTTTTTATACTACTTTTAACTTTTAGCTTATATCTAATAACCTACTATCTACCTAGTCTACTTTTAAAAGTAACCTCTCATCTATCTCCGTTATTGTCTTTCTACTTATTCCTTTGTCCGCTAACCTCTACTATAACCTCCTTTCTATCTTCTAAATAGTATTAAATTAAAGGATTAAGTGTGACGGTTCTAACCGCCACTACACCTCAGACCAGCCCCTGGCTGGAACCCAGCGGATACCGTGCTTCCTGAGCCCGGCTCAGTTAGCCATAGCTTGGCACAACCTCCTGTATATAAGAACCTCTGGCTCCCGAGCTCTGCTCTCTTCTCTTCTCTCCTTAGCTTAGAATCTTCGAATAGACAGTTCCACAGTGTCAATCTCACCACTCGTGATACCTGACGTAGTCGTGCTCTTGCGCGGTCCATCAGCTGTGCGTGTCGTCACATTAAGAGCCTTTTTTAGTCCTAGCTTAATCTACCTAGTAAAGGCCTTACTATCCTAGCTAGTACGAATTATAATACCCTTAGATAAACTAGCCTTTTATAGTATACGAAAGTAAAGAGGATATATACCGCCGATAAGGGGTTTGATTAAGAGGTTAAAGTTAGTAGAAACGTTTAAAAAAGTTAGTATAGGGTAGATAAAAGTAGTAGGAATAGCTTTATTTATATATAATCTAGTATATACTAGAGGTTTAAATATCCGATATAATTTTAGGCGAATTAGTTAAACGAGTTTGTAGGGGGGATAAGAAATAATCGTAGATTTAGGTGTAAAATAGCGATTTTTTCTCTATCTAGCGGTAAAATATACTAAGACCCTCGCTATAAGGATAACCTCAGATATATCCTTAAAAATATATCCCCCGGGAATATCCTTATATCCAGGTTTGCCTATACCTGGGTTTTCTCCCCTCTAATAGGTACAGTACAGTATGATACTGCAGGTGTATTTTTATCAATCCACACCCAACTTTGGCCACATCCAGCTCTTTCACCCATTTTTGTGATTGAACGAGCCAGAAACTTCTTAACACTTAATCTTATGTATCTAGAACAGCCTCTCTGCAGTTACAGCCTTATTACGGTCGAAAATTGGAGAGACTGGATAATCTTGTACATATGCAGGCTGAGCCACGAACACAAAGCTACTTAACATCACGCATCCACTCAGCCACCACTGCATATCGCCGTGAAGAAAATGTAGATTCTTGACAACTCCTTCTCAGCTCGCGATGGCTTGGTTTTATTCACCGTCTATCGACTGACGATCATTACTGCCAAAATGGACCCTTTAGCTGCGCTCTCTATAGCTGGCACTATCGTTCAGTTTGTAGATTATGGAACCAGGCTGCTATCGAATACCCACGAACTTTACAGATCATCTACCGGCACGCTGGAAGCCAACAACCTGCTTGAGCTAGTGACAATTGATCTCCAGGCACTGATAGCCAAGCTGCGCGCTTCAATATCAGTCCAGGGAGCATACCAGGAGGAACTCAGTTTCGAGAGGCTATGCGACCAGGCTGCTCAGGTTGCGCAGGAACTTCTCGGTCGGCTTGATAACCTGAAAAACAAAAGTACCAAAAAGAAACCATGGGAAAGTTTCCAGAAAGCGATCAAAAGTGCCTGGTCGGAAAGGGAAATTACTGACCTCAAAGCGCGGCTGCTGGGATTTCGGGAAGTCTTGGATAGTAGACTACTCTTCTCCATCAGGTATACATATGTGGTACCCATGGTGAATTCAAAAAAACATGTCTAATAGGGTGTATGTAGAGAAAATATAGCCACCGAAACGATGCAAGCTTCTTCTCGGTTTGACAATCTCGACCGGCAAACTCAACAGATTCTTATTTCTATACTCGAAAGCAGCAGTGCTACAACATCCGAAATATCTCGAGATATACGGGCACAGATGAAAGGACAGACCATTGCATTCGCACAAATACTCAGTCGGATTGAGTCGCTCAATCAGAATAACCACCGAACAAGTCGCAGTACAATATTTCATGATGTATCGGCTGAGCTTCCAGACATGTTTAGGTCGAATGACGAGGAAGGAATACAAGGCATTACAGCAGATATTGAGATGCTTGATGTTTCAGATGCTGCAGAACTCAAGGTCCGAAAAGCTGTTCACAATAGCATTCTTGAAAGTCTTCGTTTTCCAACCATGTCAAGTCGTTATGATGATGTTCTAGAGGCACACCCTCAGACTTTTGAATGGGCATTAGAACAGTCGCCAAAAGATACTCTTCACGAGTGGAGCAACCTTGCCGATTGGCTTGAAGGAAGCGATGGTTTTTACTGGATTAGCGGCAAAGCTGGCTCCGGAAAGTCAACACTTATGAAGCACATATACGATGACTACCGAACTCATGAGGGCTTAAAGGTTTGGGCAAAGGGACGTCCGATTTGTATAGCCACTTTCTTCTTCTGGAATAGTGGCACCAAAGAACAAAAATCACTTTGTGGTCTACTTCGTGCACTTTTGGTTCAAATCCTGAAGAGGTACCCGGACTCAAGCCCTCTAACTCTGCCGGCGATTTGAGCGAGCTTATACTCCAAGATGGTCAGTGGATCATATTCTACGGAAGAAACTGCAGGTTTATGGTCAGTTCGAGAGCTTATGACAGCATTCAAGGCACTGGTCCACCAAAAGAGTGTCCCGATCAAGATATTTTTCTTGATTGACGGCCTCGACGAATTTGATGGCGACCACGAAGAAATAGCGAGACTTTTTCAGAATATTTCCAACTTTCAAGACATCAAAGTGTGTCTATCCAGCAGACCCTGGGTAGTGTTTGAGCGGATCTTCGAGAATTCCCCAAGTCTCCGACTACATCATCTGACATACCTCGATATTGAATGCTATGTTAAGAGCAAATTGATGAGTAATAACTTCTTCCAGATACTTGCAGGGCAAGAGCCCAAAGAGACTTCTACTTTAGTTGAAGAAATTGTGGACAAGGCGGATGGCGTTTTTCTTTGGGTAAAACTTGTTGTGATGTCCCTTTTGAATGGGATTAGGAACCAGGATGAAATATCTCACCTCTGGACAAGATTAAGATTGTTACCGCGAGAACTCGAGCCTCTTTACAAGCGATTGCTTGATCTTATCGAGCCACTCTACTGGCCTTGAGTCTCTAAAGCCTTTCAACTGCTCCGAAATAATCTAGATCTTGGCGAGTTTCCTTTTGGGCCAGCGTCACATGGTAGCATTGGTGCGACCGGTATGACAGTGGCGGGATTCTACCTGGCCATGAAAGAGCAATTTGACATCGCCACTATTCTACGTTTGTCGGAGAGTGGGAGACTTGAAAAGGAGCTTGTGAGTGGCTGCAGAGACACAATAGTGTATCTCACAGCACGCTGTGCGGGACTGCTTGAGGTTTCCAATATCGATGGTACCGCGGGAACTGACTCGCTTATTGTCTTTTTCCACCGAACGGTGCGGGACTTTCTCTACACAGATTTGCGTTGGTCGGAGTTAAAACTGGCAACCGCCCGGACCGACTTCAATCCCGGTGTGAGCATGATGCGATCATGTATTTCCCGAGCTATTATACATTACAGTCTCCGTAACAAACCAGGAGGGGATGAAAATGCGACATTACTCGCCGAGTACAATCAAAAAAAACAAATTACCAACTTGCGTTATGGACAAAAGAACAAAAGGCATTGCCAGGGATTTCATTATATATGCATTTGACGGAACCAAACACGAGTCAAGTGCTGCAACACAGGTTACATTAATTGATACATTTGATAGTATTTTGCCCTCTACCTGGATCAACAAGGTGTTTACCTGTCTGAGAGGCTTTCCGAACAAATTCGAAAGAACCTCTCTTTTTGCTCTCCGGCACTATATGATTTCCAAAACCCAACAAATTACGACTGAGAGAACCAGAGAAGTGGCCACAAATGCACTTCGATATCTGCTGCCAGAAAAGGATTGCTATGTAAAATCTGGACTTCCCTTGCCCAGTGTTGAAATGGTTTCTCTCCTGCTGGAATTAGGTGCGGACCCCAATGAGAGTGGCCTTTTCCAGAGTCCATGGAGAAGAACCTTACAGTTTGTAATGGACGCAGATGGAGAAGTGAAGCTACCAAGAAGAGACTTGGATAAATCTTTTGATCTTCCCTTCGAGCTTCCAGCTTTCAACTTCGAAATTCAGACCGCGGGCACATCTTATGATGCAAGGCCACTTCACCTCAGGTATCTTGAAATTATGAAGATTTTGGTAGAGGCTGGGGCAGATCCTAGCCTTGTTTTGAAGTCTCACTGCGGTAAGGAAGAACACAGCCCTTTGGAAATTATTAAGAACTCAGTGGGGAAGTTATATCCTATAGAGGCCGCACCTTTGATCGACTTACTTCGAGTGAAACTTTACAATCAGGAGATGAATCGAAGTCGGAAAAGGGAACAAAGTATGGAAGACGAGTCTGACAATTGTAAAATTGTCAAGAGGCAAATGAAGAAGAGACGTATCAAGAAAAAGTGACGATCATCGCAGTTTAGAACCATCAATCAATCATTGGGCTTACTGCCTTTTCTCTCTAAAACACATTGCTTACCTCGCCTTGACGTTTTCTCTTCTACTTAGATAAAGGATGAGAAGTTTCGATGACTGCGTGCTTCATGAAAAGCATGTAAAGCATTATTTTCCCATCTACCACGGCTACAACTTTAACACCATCTCAAACAGTGACCCATTTGGAGATACCAACACCAAGCCACTTTCACATGTGTCACTTCAGCATGCCATAGCCTTCAATTACAGAGAAATGACCTTTCAAGTAAGTTCTCCTCGGTCCGACTAGCCACTTTCTGACACTTGAGCAGGGAACTCAACCCTGTGGGAGTTGTGACGGACACTGTCCGTTTTTTACGACTACAATAGGGTATACTAATATCGGGTTTTTCTACTAGCAATACACTAAATGGGGACGGACAAAGTCTAACTCTATTTTGGTGAGAAAGGGGATGGCAATGGGGTACAAGCCCTTCCTAGGGGCGGACATTGTTCGTCACAAAGGTGACAGTAAAAGCTACTAAAGATACAGTTTTCATACAAATATCATTTTAAATGAACTAGAATCTGGATATATTTCCCCTCGCCCACTCCAAGCTCCTACTACACTAATATACAATCCCCCAAGAACATTAACTGTACCGTTGAGAACCCTGACTCGAAGCCTATAACAGTCAGGCCCTATTCCCTCCATAGTGAACTTATATATCCATATCCATAACCAAGAAACCAGAATATGTATATTGCTCGAACTTGCTGTTTTGAACTGAAGGACTGCGAAGAGGCTAAAACCACTCGCCATTCATTGAAAAATAATCTTCCAGCACCTTAATTCCATTGAAAAGTCTTATGGACCTATCTCAACAGTCCATCCAACTTAGTCACAATGCTTATTTTATCCCTAAGTACCGAACTTCCTCCCTCGTGAGTTCGAATTTGCAAGAGTTCACTTCGCGTGGCAAAAACATTTTACTTTTTTTAGCTGATTATAACTTCCCGTACTCCTTGACAGAAAGGTTTTAACATAATCTGGAGGCAAGTAGAGACGCACAATTACTGTTTATGTAGATATCGGTTATCTCTTTCTCACCAATTCTCTCCAAAGCTTCTCGTGCTCAAGGATTGTGTCTAGATATATTTGATTGCAAATTTTTATGGAAGTATATTCATCAATACTTTACGGTATTTACTTTATTTGCAAACATTCTACGAAATACCGTGGAGGTGTTTAGAGTGTTAATCACCACGCCCTCTAGAAAACATACGCTAACCTTTTATTGTTCAAGCTATCTCGTTAGATATTCCCCATGACTCGACGTTTATCAGCCCCTTTTTTAAGCGAGCCTTACAAGTAATTTCCCTGCTTCTCCTCATTTTTCACACTACTATTTATAAAGTCACCTGTTTTTATTTTAAGTTTCCTCCTGATTCCTAATAGGTACCCGTTTCTTAGTCCTCTATATAATCACTGTAATCCCACGTATTTCATCTCTCGCCCTATCTATATGATTCCTAATACCTGAGCTCCAAAGAGCTAATCCCAAATACTTAAATGGCACCCACTACGCTCGACTTGAATATCCTCTAATTAGGGTTATCAATGAATTAGACAAATGTTCACCACCAACTAAAAGTTTCTCGTTGCTCATATATCTCTTCAAAGTCTTTGAGTCCCTGTCATACAGAGCCAACAGGGAAGACTCAAGGATCCAGAAGACGTAGGTGATGGCTCTCATTCCATCCACACATTACCGAAGCCAGGGAAACACCCAATAGCAGCACTGACATCTACTCAATTCAACTCCTGGACCCTTGATTCCCAAGGAAAGACCGTTACTCCTGTTTCTAGACGTTCGAGTACGAGTAACAAAATCTGCTGTCGAAGTAAAATTTACTTTCGAACAGGACCATGGCATGCTGACTTACTACTTTTTGCCAGGTGGAACAAACCGAAGGTTGTAAGAAGAGATTGCTGATATTATGAATGCCGTTACCGTACCATTCAGGCCCTTGAACTGAGTTTGAGTTCGTCGTCCTCTTCAGCACCAATCTAATTCATGACATCACTTCCATCTGCAGCATCACACTAGAGAAATGAAGAGTACCGGTACTTATACGAGATCGGCCAAAGATAGAAACAAGCTCATGAGTCAAAATTTCAACGATTAATTATACTCAAGAAAAACGACATTGACAAGACATCTGAATACGAACTACACAAGTATGAGTGTGAATATGTATTTACGAGAAACTCAAATTGAAATAGATATTAACAACTCACGAGCATCCAAGGTATTTAAGAAGAAATTAGGGCTCTCAGGCAATCTGCAGGGAAACGAAAGTACCCGGGAGCCATAGTATTTGTCGTGGGTTGTGAACATCTGGACACCAGATTAATCGCTCAAGTTCGCTTTCTGTCTATGAGACAGAACAATATATTTATATCATGAGTGTCGCCCCCGGTACACCTAACAAACTCAGAAGACATTCCCGAATTGAAGAACAAAAATCTGCTGTCGAAAAGTCTTCTATTGTCGGATATGATTTCAGCTTTCAAATCTTAATCTAAAGCTTCCATCAATGATAGTTATTAGAAAACAACTACAGTTATTGGAAAGCAGACTCAGACTGGATATCACATACTTCTTGATTAAAAGAACTTGACTAAACTAGTGACCTGGAATTGTTGTTTCGGTGAGCAGAAAGAGAATAAGACACTCAACATGTGGTTCGTCTCTCTGGTCTTATAAATACCTAAAACTTGACCTGTCATCGTCGCAATAATATAGTAGGAGCGATTAATTTCAAGAACCTCATTCTCGCCCGTCTTCACCTTCCCCAATAATTTTGGGTTTCGCTTAGGAGATTGGAAAGACAAGACATAAAAAGAGGATGAATTCCATCCATCCTCACTATCTCTTCTCTACAAACCAACAAGTTCCCCCCCTCCTACCCCTATATCCTCGCTAACCAACCAACCAACTAAGCACCATCCCCAAACCCCCAATTCAAGCCCCCAGCCCCATCCGTCCAACTCCCGTAACACAACCAAAAAACCCCCAAGACCACCAAAAAAGCACACCACCGCAGACAGTAACACAGAACCAAACTCTCACCCCGCCGAGCAACGCCACCAATCCGGGCACTAACACACACGCCCTGCCGAGCCCCGGAACCCTTCTTGGCAAGGAGACTTACAGTACCTACCGAACTCCCATCACGCCCCTTCCGTCACCGCCAAGTGTGCAGCTGCAACTGTCATTCCTGGGCAGGGACACCGTCGTACAACTGCTCGAGCAAGACCGAGTATGAAATGGATGAAATGTATCTGACAGGAAAGGATGGAATGGCGACCGAGAGATTGCAGTGCCAAGGTGTTATATCTCTTGGCTGAATGGTTTGATGGTGGAAAGGGGGTTCTGGTGATGATAGTGATGGTATGAAGAATGGAAATGGAGATGCCAAGATGAGGTACAAAGTACAGGTGTATAACAGTGATCGATGTCCGCGATGGAGGTATGTACCTCAGATCGCGATGAAGAGAAGGCGAGAATTTTGGATATGATGGATGAGTAAGAGAGGAATGGAAGGGGAGAGCGAATTGGAGTGAGGAGATTGGAGGACACGAGCTTATGGATGTACAACTTAACTGACTGACTTTGCTTACTATGCCACGACGTTGGGGATACGAAAGGAAGGTACTTCCAATATTTGTACGAGGACAGGGAGCGTAGGGGAGGTATAGGGAGGGAAACACGAGGGGGGATAGTAATGAAGAGGCTGATAACAGGCGGTCAAGTGAAAGAACTCTCCGATGAACTCGAGGAAAGAGTTTCCAAGATGGTGAAAGGAATCCAATCCCAGAAACCCTACTCCCAATTTTCGAATGCTTCTGGTTCTAGACCTGGTTGATAACGCAGGACATGAGCAAGCGAAAGGATTGTCGTGCAAATAGTTAGTAATGTACCACTTCCATCCCACATCCCCATCCTTCATTGATCCCCCAAAAATCCAAAACGAAAAGATAATCAGACAAACTAGATGAAAAGAGTAAAACCCGCTGCTTTACCTCCAGCAACCCATAACAACACTCTTGCAAAAATCCTCACATCCCAATACGTCTCTTCCGATATAGACTGCATACCTACCCCGAACGGACCCGAGTTCAATCATCTGATATCTCCATGCGGGCGTTCACACATGAACCAGTCTCCCAAAAGAAACTCTCCCCACGCCGCCAAAAACCGCCCGGAAAGCCCATCCGTATGCCCTCCCCTCCTTCCACCAAAGAATCCCCCAAAAAAACAAGCTCACCCAAGACAAAAATCGCGCATACAAATCCCACCCGATCGGTCGATCAAGCCAACAGCCCAACAACCTAATATCCCCATCCCAATCTGATTGGAAACGGCACTCCGTCGTCCCATCAAGCAAGCAATGAACGGCATAAAAAGAACTCCCAAAGGAAATCAAGCTTTTCCGGAAGCCAAAGCCAAGACCAACCAGATTGCGACTCTGAAACTGGCGCGGGAGGGGAGAATGGGATGGGTGCATTAGGTCGCCAGATATGATGTGTTGTAGAACCTTAGTTTGCATTGCATGTACTTTGGTTGATGGTGAGCTAATGAGAATGTACTTTCTTGCGGATTGGCTCTTCCCGTTGCTTGATGGCGAAGCGCTGAAGCTTGATAGGAGGGATATGCAGAGAAATGAGTCATGAGTGCGAACCGAAGATTCCGAGTTAGCTACGTAGTCAACGGCTTTCGAAGGGTATGAACCACTTACATTTCTAGGATAGTAAGAATTGTTTCTTTTTTACAAACTGAAAAGTATGGAAGTAATAGATCCCGAGAGAAATGAACCCTATTATAAGAACGGCTTCAAGACACGAACCACTCGATCTCCAGGGTTTTTCGAACTACGAGATACCCCACGTATGTTCATGTTGTCAAAGGAAGGAAGTAAGACAT